ACACTATACTGAATCCATCTAGACTATATACATAGTGTTGAACATTGCTCCACCCTGCAGTGGCACCAAGATGTGATAATATCCTTTTGAAGAGGGTGGGATTCGAACCCACTACCTTCTTGTCTCAGCAGAGGTGGCCCCAACACCAAGTGCCTACTTGAGAAAGCATTCCATGAACAGCGCTTACCACTACGCCATCCACCCCCCCGTTGTTTGTTAGTGCTTTTTGCCTTTTTTTTTTCTTTTTCTTTTTTTTTTTTTTATCGCTCCTAGCAAACATCCTTAATGAATTGCTTGTTTCATCGAGATCATGTACGTCACAGAGAGTGTAAACGCGCAGAATAGAGGGGAAACCGGGAGAAGGATTAACTTCATCAGACTAGCAAGACGGAGAATAGGAAAGCTATGGCAAGCAGCAGGGATAATCCCGGACAAGCGCCATGAGCAATTGTATTGTTCGTCAATACGTAGTCCATTTTTCCTTCCTTATGCTGTTGGGCACAACTAGCTAAGTGATAGAAGGGATTCGGGTCACAAAACTACCCCTAGATTACTAAGAAGGTTCATAATAGTTACTACTTCCCGATAACGCAGTGGTAAAAGCAGGAACTTTCTCTTGGCAATTAGTTCCCGCTTCTTGTTATGCTGCACAGATGATGTGGACCCATGGTAAAAAGGTAAAAGTTCCTCAGGAGAAATCCTCGGCAATGTCCGCGCCAGGGTTTTGTGTTATCAAATAAGACCTCACGGCTTCTGTATCCAATAGTTGTAATTTCTGTTATCAAAGGTGTCATTGTTAGCCTAAAGCACACAATAATGGGCACATTGTGCAAAGAAGATATTGACGGGGAAGAACAATGGCAGGGCGCGAAATCATTGGCTACCTTTGCTTCTATATCACGAAGCCCGGTTTCCAGGAGTTCTCCCTCCAATTTTCGAAGCTTAAGGGCTGTCTGCCATACGGACTGGCGAATCACCCTTCCGTCAACATATTCAAGCCATCGCTGCACATACTCGTCGTTCGAACGCAGTTGGGCCAGCTGACCTTGCATCCGGTCCTGCAAGATGACAACTGCCCGGAGCTGAAAGACTCCCCACATCCGGTCCGCTTTGAGCTGGTCAAGCAGCGATTCCGAAGAAGTAACGTTAGTTCCTTTCCACGAAACCTTGAGCTCTCGCTCTCCTTGGTTTGATTGAACTACACGGAATTCCAGGCCATCTTCTTCGTTAACGCAACACCACCAGACAAATGAGCTTTCCCAATCAGTCACGTCAGAGCCAGGCGCGATAAACAGGCGAAAGCCTGGTGTCGTATTGCAGACTGCTATTTTTGCAGGCCGCAATGGGTCATCAGCGGGAATGTCAAGGTCAAGGAATAGCTGGCGTGCATTCGTGGAGCCACTATCGAGAAATCCGTACGAGAATACCATCTCGGAAGCACCCTTTGCGTCACCATATCTATAGTTGCGCGGATTGAAAGTTAGTCCAATTATCGACCTTCGTGTCCAGTCACATTATCTAGCTTCAAGCATACGTGATAGTTATTTCGTCGCCCACCTCTAATCTCTGTCCACGGCGCAGTTGCAAAACAGCGTTTCCATTTTCATCGGTCTCATACAAGGCGCTGGGCCGACCACCGGAGGCGTGATTTACCATATCAATACACGGGACCATGGAATGCCCCTTGCCTGGAAATTCAAGAGCTCGCGATCTATACATGGCATCAACTAATTTCCAATCCTCGAAGGTAAGCCGGCCAGTATCTTCGTTCCACCAATCACGGTCACACCACGAGATATCCGTAGTGGCCTCTCGTAACTGGTCAAACTCTTTCTCCAACGAAAGAATCTTCGAATCTAGAGCTAATTCCAGCGAAGTGCCACGTAGAAGTTCGCGCTCCTCAATGGTGTACAAGGTGGGCAGGGAATACGAGGCCGGGAGAAATTTTATGTATTCTGTCCAAGCATTGGATACCTTAATGTGCTCCTTGGACGATAAATCCGGATCCGAGTACGAAATGTGGACCAGGAGGAAAAGCAATATGGCACCTCGAGCTGTCTACACATATCAGAAATTGAAATATACATCTACGGCCGAGGAAGCGGCATTGCCGTGCCAGTGAAAGAATACACACCATTGCATAATCCCTCATAGAATCCAGTACCTCCTTCAAATGCCTATCTGTTTTGGCGCATGTTTCCACTAACTCTAGTGAAAGTAAAAGCTCAGATGGAATAGTCATGAGGACTTGCGGCTCAATTTCGGCTTCGGGACCGAGCCCCCCGGTTGATTTCTTTGCTGTCGCAACTATCCCGCATCCCTTGTCAATCCCATCCTTGGCCGGTAGCTGTGTCACCTCGACGTCGTGGAATTCGACACAATTAAGTCTAGTCCATGCCGCGAGCGCACTGATTGGAAGATATTCTCGCTTCATTGGAAGGGAAGGAGTTTGGTGAACTAGTTACCGCGTAATCAGTTGATTTGCCGATTGAGATACTTAATGGATCCCGAGTTTATCTACGTGAAGTCAGGTGATCAAATCACGGAGGTGACGATGATTGGCTCACCCAACCTCATCCAACTTTTGGAATACTTGAGAGATGAATGACGGTAGCTCATGGGCCATATCCTATGCCGATTCTCTCCCCCCCCCCCCCTTTTTTTTTTTTTTAGAAGATGCGGACTAAGCTCATTCCGAACTTAATTCCCCTCCTCACGGCGGAAGAACAGCAACAAGCTGTGGGCTTTCTGGCATCTTCTCAACCAGGACAGCCATTTTCTACTGGTATTTTGTATAAAGCTCTGGGAAACGATACGTCGTCTTTCCAATTCGGCTTCTCTGAAGCGAATCCCGCCATGAGAGATGCATTTCAACCAAGGAATTGTGCGTAAACAAGAAGCGAATTTGATCCCTACCTTCAATGCTGTCACGATATCTTGAATTATAAACGGTGTATGCCCGATCCTACGTAACTAACTCATAACATAAATAGTTCACCACTTTCTCGTTCACACCACATCCTCGTTAGCCTGCTTATATGATATGGCCCACTGCCAAAGCTACCAATCAAATTATCATACATTTATAATAGAGGAAGAAAGAAATGAGTGAAAATAGACTTATTTTAGCTGCTTTAGTAGTTAAGGGTCAAGGATTAACTTAGAGAAGAGCTGAGCTGCTTTCTATATATCTAGATAATATTTGCATCTCTATATTGATATTTAGAACTAGTAGTCGATGCCACTGGTCATGATTGTCAGTAGTCCAACAATTATAAAGAGTACAATACCACACGATCAGGCTAACGAGGATGTTGGTGTAAACGAGAAAGTAGTACGGAGTAATTATTCTACAGTTACTCGCGGCCCACTTACAGTCCTTTATTAGGACTAGTGTCTTTTTGAAGGATAGTGGGGGTGGGGTCCTCCAGTCCGTATGTTAACATATCTAGTTTGAGTTGCTGTCCAATTTTGTGCTCGCAGAAAAAATTCCACCGTTACGCCTTGAGAAAAACGAACATCTAGGAAAAGTCCCTTGACAAGTACCACCGCTAGCACACCCTGTTACCAAAACTCGCCTCAGCCAACGATGGATAGTCCATTGCCTGTTTACAAGGCGCAGCGACGTCGTAACCAAGCATCAATCTTGCTAGTCGCAGCGGCCATAAAGTATAACGAACCCTTAATTAGAAAGTTTGTTCGTTGAGATAAAGAAATCTGAGTTATCAGCTAATTGGATTTGGAAAATGGTTCACGATGTTTGTAGATGCTAGATTCAATCTAAACGGCTGTTGTGGCAATAGCGTTTCAAAAATGGTATACAGAGGTCGCTTCAAATGGTTTTGATTTGACTCACACTAAGAATTTTAGTGGCAAGCTTGCTAATGACATCAAGTAATTACATTGATCCTATGCTCTCCTCTAGAGGCTTCAGTCGGTCCCTTATTTAACTCAAGCTAGCCTAAATTTTGAGGTCCCTTGTAGGGCATGAAGATTTTTACAGAAGCTTAAATTCTTATATAGTAGTGTTAGTCAAAAAAACTTTTACAAGGCCCATCTATAGACAGCCTAAATCTACTCTTATAGCATCTCAGGAGCCAGAACATTCGATGCGGGACATGTCCGTCTCTCAAATCTTCATACCTCATTCTGGGAGGCAGGAAGACTAAACTAGCCTTCTTGCAAGAATGCGCCAGAGTAGGAAGATCCCCATGGAGTTCCTCCTCATAAACGCCTCTCGTTCCCCACAAGGCTGCATGCATACCAAACCCTACAGGCTAAATTTAGCATTATGCAGCAGCACCAGAAGCACCATGGCGGAATAGTGAAGCCAGCTAGCTAGTCAAGGCGCTCATTCACCCAAGAGTTCATCCCCTCAGAATCGCTGAAGACGATATCTGCAGCATCCTTGAGCCCCATCTGCCCAGCTAAGCTGCGAAGAATAGCTCACCAGCATGTCCACAATGCAGCTTCCTATACTGGCTTCTAGGTTGGCGCCCATGACGACGATCTAAAAAGCTTTTGCAGTTGGGTTGAGGGTCTTAAGTCTAATTTCCGCGCCCCTATGGTGGGCCCGCTAGCTCTCTATCTTATACGTGGCGACAAACGAGGATGAATTGGGTCGGTGGATTCTCCTTGACGACCTTACAATCTTTGGTGTCGGCGATACTCGGCCTGAAATTTGAGCTGGCGAAGGCGGTGAATACACGACCCTTCGAGGCATGCACGACGCAATGGCTAACCAGCTCAAGCTGAGGGACGTACTTGTTTCTGGTCAGTAACCAAAACCACAAGCGGACATGGAGCCTCTTGTATCTCGACCGGTGGTGGGAGGATCCACCGCTGGATGAAAAGGGAAAGAATTCAGGTTCTTTCTACTTACTCTCTTCACCCCTGAGGATATTGCTCCAATTGAAAACTGCTCATATTTTGCTTTGGTGTTGCTTTTACTGTTCTCGAATCACCAAACTAATTGGGATATTTCACTACCGGCCATCACTATGGCGTTCTTAGTATGGTTGGGGTTGGGGGTTCTGCTTGCTTTCGAGCGAGGAGATTCCGGCTCGGAAGCACCACTATTGAAGTCTCCAATCTGCTATTTGCTGCAAGATACTACGGCAGCCCTGAGGAGCTCAAGTTCTGAAGCAGATAAAGCCCATAGAGCAAAGAAAGAGGGAGGATATTGAAACGAGAAGTGCAAGACCCACCACCCTGGAATAAAGGATGGATGACAATTTACAATTAGGTCATGTGTGCTCCGCATATCCATCATGTGAACTATCCAGGTGGGCCAGGACATTATGTTCTGTCTAGTTAAAGATTCTTTTATTTACTGGCTCTTCCTCGCTGATTGAATTATTATAACTCTCTTTCGTAGCATCAAAAGACAGCCTGGCCTCCCTCAAGCTCCCAAAGTATTTATAACTTGCGACAAGCGTAGGCAACTTGAGACTTACTTACTATTACCACTGTGATCTATTCGGTGACAATTTTGTTCTAGCCCAAACTCCTCCTACCTAACATTGGCTACATGGATTGCGGATCGTTTTCAACCCTACCATCTAACTAACTGTAATAGACATGTCACTCTAACGGATGACTGGTTGAGCCGAACCACTGAAGTGTCCAGTGGATATGATGCAGAATGGCTTGACCATCGTAACTCTGTCTCTTATGATATTTCTTATGCAAAGAGCAATCCAATGGCATGTCCCAAGGTCAGACATAATTCAGCCCAATACCAGAGAAACATTGTCATCAGGATGACAAAAAAAGCCACTGATCTGACGCAGATGAAGATTGGAATTATTGGAAACCATCTTCTGTTGAAATAAAAAGCCACCCGCTGTGTGTTGGAAAGAGTTCCATGGTGTGCCGCCACCCGTTTTCGTTTCACTCAAGGACATCAGCTTACCGCTGGCTTGCTGGTGGCTGGCAGACACGGCTTTGTTCAAATACTGGCTGAAGAAAGCTGAAATCGCCTTAACCCTCAGAATAAAAACCTGCCTCGAGAAGTACGGCCCAGCCTGAATAAAGTTGGAAAAACTGGCTTGCGCCATTCCCTACTACACGGCATTAGCCAAAAGTCGCATCAGCACGCCCCGCCTTCCAGACAACTATGTCCCGAGTTCATTCATCGTCTTCTTATACAGAACTTCAAGTCTTTTTCGGTCACGGGCGTTATGATCAGCAGATCAGGTTTACTGCATACGTTGCGATTCGCCCATCTTCAATCGCCACTGGCTACAGCTTTCTCCTCAGGCACCCGATACGCATGGACAAGCTCGAAGGGAGAGGGTCACAGCGTGGACCGGAGCAGGCGCAGCGACACCACCGATCCAACAACCAAGGGGACAGCCGGAGGCTTGAAGGAGAAGGGAGAGGCTACAAAGAGAAAGGGTAATTCCAAAAGCAATGCCACGGAAGAGCGGAATCACGAGGGGAGCACAAAAAAAGCAGAGAATGACTTTCCGGAAGCTCCCAGGCCTATTATTGGCATGTCTGACGAAAGGGGAAAGGTGAGTGGGTTTACTTTCACATTTTTGTTTTGGCTGGACATGTTTTCTTGTTTGCTTTGCCGTCTTGATGCACCTGGCTGATGTTTTCCCATGACCACAGAAAGGGATTTGAGTGACATATGCATGTTTAAGAGAGTTCTACCTCCCCAAGTCGACATCCAAGTCGACATCCAAGCAGGGAAGCCTTGTATCATCGGCCGACTTTAAATGATAGGACCTTTGGATTCACGAAAAGGCGCATTAATGAGTGCGTGTGTGAGAGAGAGGGGAAAAAAAGATGTGTGTGGAGGGGAGGGGTTAGGGGGGGGGGGGGGGCTGGCTGAATAAGAAATTGCAGAACTAGGAAATGGGTGAAAACGGCCACCATTAACACTGCAGTACTTACATCGTAATTTCCAATAGAAACTATCTCGTCCTCTGAGACTCTTGAGCCTCCCGCGCCCTCTATATAAGCTACAGGAACATCACCCATCACTTTCCGAGCCACGTCGCCCACAGTGCTATTCCTGAAATAACGTTAGGATGCGCCACTTGAAATTCCATGTGAATAGGCAGTGGGTCTAACTTCTTGACAAGCACACAATCCTTGAAAACTCCATTGGCCGTTCCGGTTCCTGATGCAAATGTGTGAATATTACGGACTGGGAAAATTGGTACCAACCCAAGTACTTCCGCAGCACGAGAGAGAACCTGAACGACACCTGTAGATCCGAATCGATACAAAACCAAATCCTTGACATTTTCCAACCGGCTATCAAATGTTAGCAAATATATTTTTTAGAATGGATGTTGCATTCAGGGACACAATAGAACACCAAGGGATAATTATACTTCTTCAATTTCTCATCCATTTCCTTGAGGCCACCACCCTCAGGATCACCCATATCTATTAGATCCTCTCTCGTATCTATAACATCACTCCCTTCGACATATTTGATATATCCTTGTCGAGCCAGTTTTCGAAGGAAGACTTCTGATATGGCAGAACACAAAACAATCGATTGCGGGTCCTGAGCCTTGGCAATTTTATTTATATTCTGTGATTCTATCAAATCAGTAAAACGTCAAACCATTTTCGTAGGATCCGGAGTCTAACTTACCTTGTCAGCATCTGGATGATCAATTTTGTTGAGTGCGAGCACAGTGGGGAATTTTTCATCTATAAAGGCAACGACAACACGTTCTACGGTCTCATCCGACCATTCTTGAAGGGGCTCTTTTATATCTAATCGGTCAAGACATCGCGCCACGACTTTCGATGTGCTTCCGTAACCAGAAAACTGATTTTGTAGCGTTTCGACCGGTGTTGCCTCTATTGTATGTCAAAAAGCTTGCATTTCAAGTTCGATTCAAACACCACACGTACTTGTTGCTGTATGTCGCCGTTTTATAGAACCCCTATTGTCCGTAAGTATCTGCTTTCTACATTTCTCCTTCACCGTCATAAAACTTTTGCGCATATTACCATTTCTCCATCAAATTACCCAAAATCCAATTGACAATCTCCGATTTCAACCAAACAATATCTTGTGAAGGGTCATACCCTCTAGTGGCCTTCCCTGATATTAGGAAACACCTTTCTCAGTCCATCAAAGACCATGCTGGTAGCACCCATGAGCCGCAAGGCTGATATGCTGGTTGATAGAACGAACCTTCGGCATCAACCGTCCCACTAACATCAACCACATGTACCAACGCATCCGCATGTCGTAGGTCGTCTAAAAATTTATTCCCGAGTCCTTTGCCTTCATGCGCCCCAGGAACAAGCCCAGCAACATCAAGCAGCTCGATTGGGACAGATCTCCTCCCTTCGTGACAACCGCCGTAATTGGGCTTGCATTTATCCGAGACGTTAAAACGTTTGCACGCGCAGTCTACCTGGAGGTAGCCTATGGCGCGCTGGGGGTCGATAGTTGTGAAGCTACTCCCCCGATTTTAGTATTCAAAACTCGTCTACTGGAATGAGGGGCCAGAAAAAGAGGGGATTGATATGGAGTTCGTACGGGAAATTTCCTGTGGAATCATATTTCTTCAGCTCCGCGATAACCAAAAGGAACGAATGATTGACGCACCAACTTTAGAAGAAGCATCGGTCAAACTGGAGTCGTTGCGTTAGACACATTAATTTCACCCATGTTTGCGCTCTCTTGAAATCCCATACACACCTATTTAGGGTAGTTGACTTGCCAGACGAGGGTTTCCCGACGAGGCCGATTAATGGATCCTGAGGCATAGGAAATTAGTATGCGAAGTCTTAGCTGGGCAAATATAGGATTTAATATAGGATTTTTCAATGAGAGGGAGCCCGGCCGATTCGTCTGGTGCTGGCGTTGGCTGGTGTTGGCAGCATATTCAGGCTGTAATTTTGATATCCGATCAGTAACGTATGTTATTCGGTTGCCTACTAACTATAGCCGAAATTTACTGTACAGTACAACCGGGCTTGTAATTTATACAGCCATTACATACAATAGCCATTTTTCAACGCCAATGTTCGACACATTTACTTCACTAAAATCTTCAAACTTAGCTCCAATTGTATGTATGTATGTATGTACATGTACATTCCCAAGTTTGGAGTTTCGCAATCCAGATGAATATAAACTACAATCCAAAGTTTGACCCTTGTGGATCTCTCAACAAGTGAATCAATGCAGGGAACCTATCCTGAGGGCAAGGCACTGCACCAACAGTATTTATTGATTCTTAAAAGAGGGTCACTCTCAGTTATACCATGCTCGCCCAATCTCACGCAATAGTATTCCTTTCATCTAAAGGCGTCTATGGAGAAGGGGACTAGATTGTCCTTCCTATCAGGGTTGTTCTCCGGAAAACGGAGAGTTCTATGCCTATCATTTGAAGGCCCAAGCCCAGAAGATTCACAAAAGAGAACGACCCACCAGAGCCTAAATATATTAGGTATCCCTCGGGGAGTAAAACGCCTTTCCCCTGAGCCACTATGCTACACTTCTGAAGCTATATTATTCGTGAACTCTCTATATGAAACATAAAACAACACTACCAAGAAATACTGTTCAGCAATTAAGCTCTACCTGCCACTATCAGCGACAATAAAGCAAGAGTCCCCAGGTGTAGGCTGATGGCAAGGTCCAAAAAAGGGCTCGTTCTCGTAACCATGAC